AAACACACACAATGGGACATTGTGGGCAATCTCACTAAGAATATGGTTTTAGGAATTATGGGAATTGGGCTCATGTTAGATATTTTGGGGGGGAAGGTTTGGAGAAGCAGGGCTTTGATCTGAACTGGATGCTGTCAAGATGAAGGGGTAATTATATTGTTAAACATCTTAATGAATCTTATCTAGAGGTGGGAAGAATAAAGTGATGCTAGAGTTATAATGGATAAAAGCAGTGTCACTCAAATTAGTTGGAAGAAGGGGATGTTTGGTATGGTCATATTCTGCACAGTAATGTTCTTGTCTGTGCATAGTCAAGATTAAGCAGTGGTCATGTTTTGTCACACATCACAATCACAGAGTGACCTTGTGTGTTTTTGACATTCTGGGAGATTGTTATGCTCAACAGGAGACTGTGATGGTTTAGCTGTGAATTCCAGGTTTATTAGTCAGCTTTTCATCACTATGACAAATACCTGAGAAGAATTACTTGGGAAGGAAAGAGATTTATTTCCACTTATATTTTTGGAAGTTCAAAGTCCAAGACTGGGCAGCCCCACTGGTCTGGCATCTGATGAGAGTGGTGGATGTTAAAACAAGGCAGAAGAAAGGTCACATGGTAAGCTAGGAAGCAGACAGAGGCAGGGAGCATGCTCATCTATGTCTATGTGGTCTCACCAAAGCCACCATGATTGGATCATGTGCACTCCACCCCAGAAACAATCCAATCTCATCACTTCCCAAAGCCTCCACATTCAGACACCATAATGGATAAAGCCTCTTCCCTATAAGTACCATCAATCTATTACTCTGGGACTTAAACATCTGCATGAGTTGGGAGACAAATCTTGTTCAAACCATAGCACCAGGCCAACTTCTAACAACACCAAATCTTAGCTTTTAGGGGCAGACCAGTTCCCAGGTGCCACGGGTTTATTTTCTCAGTCCTCTTCCCTTCCCAACCCCTCACCTTTTTTTTTTTTCTTTTTTTGGTTGACAGCAAAATCAGTCACAGGACATTATTCTTTGGTGTTCAGAGTTTCCTACTGCTGAGTGTACACTGATCTGGAGAACAGTCTATAGTTGGACTAGGGTTAATCCCACCCTCTGTTGTAGGATGAATTATTGAATTACATATGATATGACAATGGCTGTATAGAAACATGCAGGACTCTGGCCAGGATACACTAACTAACTGCAAAAAACCAATTGCTAGCAATAAAATGATCATCCATCTTTATAATAAGTCCTGAACTAGAAGTTTAGATTATAGAATGCTGGCAATGAAAATATTCCCCAGAATCCAGTTTTTAGGAGATCCAGGTGATTTTTTTTTTTTTTTAAAACCTATTCATGCTCTGCTGGCTCTGTAGTATGTAAGTATAGCAATGAGTGTTGCTAAACACAAACTCCCCTTGGCCAGTTAAGTGGAAATCAAGGATCCTCTGTGAAAACTCTGGCTAATGAATTAAAAGGTAGCTGATTGGTTGTAACAGAAGCTGTGTTATTTATGAGGTCTGCTAAGATCAGAGACAAGTTTTGGATTTTTTTTTTTGAGTTCTATTATCTTTATTGTGGAGATTTCATTTTCATAATACTCGTGAAGAGTTAATTTGTTATCCTTCCTGAGAGTTCTCTTAAGTAGTCCAGAACTCTGTACTTGTCTCATTTTGTTGGTTTCTGGATTTTTTTTTTTTTTAGAGAAACATGACCCACTGGAGGAGTGGTGATTTTAAGCACTGGAGGGTCTCTAACAGTTAAGTTATATACACAGGAAAAGTTAGTATGTGGGAGGAGGGTGTAAGACTCATGTTCAAGTACTTTAGCATGGTACAGACTATGTCGAGAGTATCAGTACATAGGGAACAAGCCAAAGTTCTTACTCTCAACTTAGGGGATGTTTTACATGGAATTAAAGAGGTTTCTTTCTTTCTTTTATTTTTTTGACAGGCAGAGTGGACACTGAGAGAGAGAGAGAGAGAGAGAGAGAGAGAGAAAGGTCTTCCTTTGCCGTTGGTTCACTCAACAATGGCCGCTGCGGCCGGCGAGCTGCGCTGATCCGAAGCCAGGAACCAGGTGCTTCTCCTGGTCTCCCATGTGGGTGCAGGGCCCAAGTACTTGGGCCATCCTCCACTGCACTCCCTGGCCACAGCAGAGAGCTGGCCTGGAAGAGGGGCAACCAGGACAGAATCCGGTGCCCCGACCGTGACTAGAACCTGGGGTGCCAGCGCTGCAGGCAGAGGATTAGCCTATTGAGCCGCTGCGCCGGCCATTAAAGAGGTTTCTACAAAGCCTGCTGGACTATTTCTGAAGAGAACCAACAGCACCATAGCAGAAATAGTCCCAATAATAGTTTCCATTCTTGAAGGACTGAGTTTTTCTGATCATGTTGTAATGACCTCAGAGAGACATTTTTTTTTAAGTGTGAGTCAAGGTCCAACATTTTAAAGACTGAAGTTTGGGATTAATTATGTGAGAGAAGCTTAAGGACCAGAAGTGAATCATAGAAGGAAATCTACCTTACGATGTCTGTACATTTTGTCAACTGTTAAATTAAGAGCAATAACTATGGTTTGAGAAAAATACATCAGAAAGTGTCCTTTCTCTTAGGTAGCAGAAGAGTATTGGGACTCAAAAGTAAAGGGCCGGCCAGCACCAGCTAATCCTCTGCCTGCGGCGCCGGCACACCAGGTTCTAGTCCCAGTTGGGGCGCCGGATTCTGTCCCGGTTGCCCCTCTTCCAGTCCAGCTCTCTGCTGTAGCCCGGGAAGGCAGTGGAGAATGGCTCAAGTCCTTGGGCCCTGCACTCGCATGGGAGACCAGGAGGAAGCACCTGGCTCCTGGCTTTGGATCGGTGCAGCGCGCCAGCCGTAGCGGCCATTGGAGGGTGAACCAACGGAAAGGAAGACCTTTCTCTCCTCTCTGTCTCTCTCTCTTTCTCTCTCACTGTCTAACTCTGCCTGCCTGCCAAAAAAAAAAAAAAAAAAAAAAAAAAAAAAAAAAAAAAAAAAAAAAAAAAAAAAAAGGGCCTGCACTGTGGCATAGCAGGTTAACCCGCTTTCTGAAGTGCTGGCATCCCATATGGGTGCTGGTTTGAGTCCCAGCTGTTCCACTTCCAATCCGGCTCTCTGCTATGGCCTGGGAAAACAGTAGAAGATAGCCCAAGTCCTTGGGCCTTTGCACCTGTGTGGGAAACCTGGAAAAAGCTACTGGTTCCTGGCTTTGGCTGGCCCAGCTCCAGCCTTGCAGCCATTTGGGGAGTGAACCAGCAGGTGGAAGACCTCTCTCTCTCTGTTTTTCCTCTGTCTATAACTCTGTCTTTCAAATAAATAAATAAATCCTTTAAAAAAAGTGATAGGATGAATTAAGGGATACAATAATGAGAAATGCTTTTGCTAGTTAATAAAAAGTATGTCAAAGTACAAGAATTGGCAAGATTAGTGGTAGGGTAAAAAGATATTGCGCAATCAGAAAATTCATCACAGGCAAATGTCTGCCCATGTCTGCATTTGAAAACTTATGGAGATTTTTCTAAGAATCATCAGTTTGAGGTCTTCCAATGGAATGGATGTCCTCCCCCTCACTCCTCCATCCCATGTGTAATTCTATCTTCCTATTTGTCAATTAAAACACTCTGTTTCCAAGGATGCAATTGCTTCATCCTGGACCTGAGGAAGAAGACATCATGTGGACCATATGGAGGTACCACAAAATTCCCAAGTGGCTCCACCTATGTGGAGGCACCCACCACAACCTACTTCATAAAAGAGGCCAGCAACCAGGGAGAGCTCTTTCTCTTTTGCTGGAGATGTGGGTTGGAGGGGGCTGTCAGGGGGCCCTCTCTGCTTCCCCTCCCCCACCCCTTTTCTTGTTGGGCCAATCTGCCCACTCATGATGCCCCCACTCTTTGTGGGGCGACCCATGTTCACATGAGGGTTTGCCTTCTCAATTTTTTTTAATGATTTATTTATTTGAAAGGCAAATTACAGAGAAGTAGAGGCAGAGAGAGAGAGGAAGAGAGGTCTTCCATCCACTGGTTCACTCCCCAGATTGCCATAATGGCTGGAAGCTGTGCTGATCCGAAACCAGGAGCCAGGAGCTTCTTCTGGGTCTCCCACGTGGGTGCAGGAGTCCAAGGACCTGGGCCATCTTCCACTGCTTTCCCAGGCTGTTCCAGAGAGCTGGATTGGAAGTGGAGCAGCTGGGACTTGAACCAGTGCCCATATGGGATGCTGGCACTGCAGGCAGTGCCTTTATCCACTATGCCACAGTGCCAGACCCTGCCTTCTCACCTTTAGGATAAAATTTACCTTATATATGACAACACCAAGAATGTTTAACTTTGTGCCTGACAAGAGCCTATAATAAAAATAAATATGCCCCCCCCCCACATCGTTATCAGCTGATAGGTCTGGGCCTTGGCAATTATACATTAGTAGAAGCCCTAAGATGACACAGGGAGGCAGACACTAGCATGAGACGCTGGGTAAATTATTTTTCTGAGCCTCAGATTCATGCTTGCCTCACAGAACTGCACTATAATCAACACATAATTATCACCAAGTCCTTCACATTGGCTATTTCCTTCAATTATCATAAGCATCTAGGTACTCACACTTACACGGCTGTAAAGGGTGACGCCAGGACTCAAACTCCGGTATATATGAGACAGCGTCCAACACCTCCTGACATTTTCCCTTGGTAAATTCGAGGTAAGTTCACCTTACAGTCATATAGTAATCAGTAAAACTTTAGACATTAGAATTTGGTTTGCTTCTGGTGATTTGGTCCTGGGTTCGGAACTCCCCTCTGTGCCAGAGCAAAAATCCAGGCTAAATTCTCCCGGTGTGGGGCTCTCTGCGCCGGGAGAGGAGCCCAGGCCGGGTTTATTGTGAGCTTACAGAACCGTAAGGTCCCAGCGCGTGACGAGGGCCGGGCAGCAGTGTCGCCTCTCAGGGGACCACACCCCCTCCCCGGGCCTTCCCGCCCTCCCCGGCGGGGCGTCCCTAGCAACGCGCGCGCTCTCTCCCAGCCCCGCCCCTCCCGGGGCGGTGGCGGCCTTTGCGCCTGCGCGAGGCCTCAACCGCCAGTCACCTCTCTTCCCCCCTCCCTTTCCCCTCCCCTCTCCTCCTCCTCCTCTGCTGCCTAGAACGAGACTTCAACATGGAGCCCGAGGACCTGCCTTGGCCAGGCGAGCTGGAGGAGGAGGAGGAGGAGGAGGCAGCGGCGGCGGCGGCGCCTGAAGAGACAGCGAACTTGGATGAGATCGTGGTGGTCGAGGAGGTGGAGGAAGAGACCAGGCCAGAGTTGAACTCCGACTTCAACTACGAGTACCAGCGTCGGGAGAGCACTGACGACGATGAGGAGGACGATGAGGCCAAGGCCTGGCTGCAGGCGCACCCGGGCGGGACGCTGCCCCCGCCGCCGCCCCCGAGGTACCGCTACTCGGAGGGAGAGCGTGCCTCCCTGGAGGTGAGCACTGGCGGGCCGAGGTGTGGGGCCGCCGTCGGGCCGGGGCCGAGGGGCTGGCCGGGAGCGCCTTCCCTCGCTCGCCGCCTGTCGGGGCGCTGGACTCCTCATCAGTGCCCCTTTGAAGGCTGGTCCGGGCCTCCGCGCCCCCGGGGCGAACCCGCTGCTACCCAGGTGCGGGCCGCTTCCCTGCGCCTCCCGTTCTTTCTGGTCGCGGCGTCTCTAGTTTTCCCGGTTCCTCGGCAGGCGCCGGCCTTTTGAACTTCAGCAGGTGTTCCGAGGAGCCCGTAATCCCGGAGCGGTGTTTCAGCTGCGCCTGGGGAGGAGGTGGCGCTTATCGTGCCCCGCAGGCGGGGGAAAGTGCGGCATGCGGCCGGCGAGAGTGCTTTCCCGAGCACTGGGGGAAGCAGGAGCAGATTAGTTTATATGCAAGGTTTCCTTTGAGGAGATAGTGTGGGTTAGGAACACTTCTTGATCAAGCTGCCGATTGTGCTAGCACCCTCCTGTGTAGCAGTGGAAGGGGTCCCAGTTCATGGGAAGGACTTAGGGCGAATGCATGAGCCGTCTGGAAAACTAGAAAGCACAAAGTATTTACACGGGAGACAAGCGCCGATTTTTATGGTCGGCCTGCGAAGATCATTTTGAAAATAACCACGCGTTTAATTTTCTGCTTTTCAAGGAGCAGTGCCGTCGCGTTTCAATACGATAGCCGCTAGCCAGCTATGATATAGCTGTTAGCCAGCTACGGTGTGGCTCTTTACATCTTAATTAGCTATAAATAAATACAAAATAAATTCATTGTCTCCATTGTTTCATTTTTTAAGTGCTCACTAGCCACACTGGCTAGTGGCCGTCACATTGGACCAGGCACCGATGTCACGGCGCTCGTTTTGCCTGGTAAATATTCCAGTGTATACTTCACTGAGCACAAATGCTATCATTAAACAGTCACTATGTACCGCACGTTGTGCTGTGTGCTAAGGAAACGTTGGTGAGCCCAAACATTTTTGGTCTCTGTCTTCCTAGTTTTCCTAGTCTAGAGAAGGAGGCATACAAAATTCAGATGATCGTGTAAATAAAGTAAAACTTGCACATGTTAAGATGCTATGAAAGCATAAAGTGTGAATATCTGACGGTGAAGCTGGGGAAAGCTTTCTTGGGGAGGTTATGCTAGAGCTGATCAGCCAAGAGCAGACTGAAAACTGACCAGACAGAGAGGGAGGGGAGAACCTTTCAGATGCAGGAAAAGCCCCTTGGGAAGTGGTTAGAGAGAGCATGACTTTTTCAGGGAATCAAATGCCAACCTGAGTTGTGTGCAGGATTTAGGAGCTTTGTTCCTGGAACTTTGGGAACTCAATGAAAATGTTTTAAATAAGGGAGTGTATGGCAAGATTTGTGTTTGTAGCAGTGTGGAGTGCTCTACTAGGTCAGGGACACTAGGAGGCCATCGCAGTATTGCCAGGCAGAAGATGATTTTTTGGAATAAGGAAGTGTTGATGGATGTAGGGAAAGGTGTACTTACTCAAGAGATTGAAGAGGCAAAATCACTATACTTAATAATGGGTTGGATGTGGAGGGAGAGGTTATTGAATGAATGACTGTACTACTATTGAGAAATGGCCAGGCTTATGAATGGGATGGGGTGCTAAGATTATGAGTTTGATTTTGAAGATTAGAGAAGAGGTCTGGGCTAGGAATTTTATTTATTTTATTATTTTTTTAAGGATTTATCTATTTGAAAGCAGAGTGACAGAGGACACACACACACACACACACACAGAAACTGTCTTTCATCTGATGGTTCACTCCCTAAATGTCCTAAAGATAGGGACTGGGCCACGCTAAAATGAGGGACCTAAGTTCTTGGGCCATCATCTGCTGCCTCCCAGGGTACACATTAGCATGAAGCTGGATTGGAAGCTGTATCCCAAGTGACTGCTTGGCTTGCTGCTATGTGATGCCTGTTCCTGGGCTAGAAATTTTAAGTGTGCATCATTTACATATAAGTATAGACCATAATTATAGCCACTGTTGTGGAAATCTCATTTGCTTTGTTCTATGACTTGAATAACTATTTAAATTTATATCTTTGTGCCTAGAGGAGAAGTTTCTAAACTAGCCCACTTTAACTCTCATCACAGACAAGGTGATAAAATTATTATATTGTTTAATATTAACCTATTTATGTGAGATAGAAAAATGTTGCTTCTTAGAGCCCAGAGTGTTTTTCTTTTTAAAGATTTATTTATTTATTTGAAAGGCAGCGTTATAGTAAGGCAGAGGCAGAGAGAGAGAGCTCTTCCATCCGCTGGTTCACTCTCCAAATGGCCGCAACATCTGGAGCTGGGCCGATCCAAAGCCAGGAGCCAGGAGCTTTTTCCAGGTCTCCCACGTGGGTACAAGGGCCCAAGGACTGGGGCCATGTTATACTGCTTTCCCAGGCCACAGCAGAGCTGGATCAGAAGAGGAGCAGCCGGGACTCGAACCGGCACCCATAGGGGATGCCAGCACTGCAGGTGGTGGCGTAACCCATTATGCCACAGCACCAGCTGCCAGAGTGGTTTTTACTCCTGCAGTTTTTTTCTTTTTTGAGAGAAATCATATACTTATTTATTTTTTGTTTATTTGCTATGAGCCCCAGATGCTTGCAGCGGCCAGGGGTCAAAGCTGGGAGCTAGGAACTCAATCCCAGTCTCTCATGAGGGTGGCAGGAACCTAATCACTTGAGCCATCATTACTTTCTCCCATTAGCAGGAAGCTGGAGTCAAGAACTGGACCTGGGCATGGAACTCAGGCACTCAGATACAGGATGCACATTTCCTAAGGGATGTCTTAACTGTTAGGCCAAATGCATGCCCTGAGGTGTTTTCTTACTTCACAGAATGGATGAAGTTGTATCAGTCTTCTGTATTACAAGTATATAATGGTTATAAGATAGTTTTCTTTTAGGTCATTGGCACTAAAACTTATAGGCATAAGTTAGAAAGTGTTTAAAGGAGAAAATATTTAATACGTTTTTTTACTAGGAATTGAGAACTATGACTTTTTTTTTTTAGATTTGTATAGCATTTAATGCTGTATAAAGAGGATGAAATCAAACAATAGGAAACCGTTTCATCGTGTCTACTCTCAAATGATAAAATTATTATTTGGTTTACTTTTGTATTTTTCACTAGATAATAAAGGTGTTCTATTGGTGATGGATAAGGCAGCAATTAAGTTTGTAGTCTTGTTATTGAAACTGAGCTAAGCCGCAGAACTATTTAAATCTGAAGCAGAATAACCAGCCTTAACAGCCAGGTGTTTTTGAGTGAAGGGGAGTGGGTGGTTCAGAATCTTTGCTTTGTTTATGCTGGTCCTGCACACCTCTTGGATCATTTTGAACACTTCCTATAATTGCTAAACCTAAATTTCTGAGCTGTATTGGGGAAAATAATTTGATTCTGTAGGTTGAAATTATTGGTCTCCAACTTTTTTTTTTTTTTAAGATTTATTTATTTGAAATACAGAGTTACAGAGAGACAGAGGCACAGAGAGAGAGAGTTCTTCCATCCACTGGTTCATTCCCTAGATGGCCGCAATAGCCAGAGCTGGGCCGATCCGAAGCCAGGAGCTTCTTCCAGGTCTCCCATGTGGGTGCAGGGGCCCAAGCACTGTGTACTGCTTTCCCAGGCAATAGCAGAGAGCTGGATCTGAAGAGGAGCAGCCAGGACTAGAACTGGCACCCATATGGGATACCAGGGTCACAGGCAGAGGATTAACCTACTATGCCACAGTGTTGGCCTTGCCTCCGTATTCTTTTTTAGGATTGGAGTCTACATCTGTTCTCTTTTGGGGGATTATTTTTGGTAATTTATGATTGCCTTGCAAAATCATTTATTTCAGTAAGGATTTATAGTTAATTATGGAGTGCTACATAGTATTCTTTATCCTCCTCCACATTGCATCTGTGGTTCTTTTTTATTTCTTATTCCTGATTTCATGTAATTATGTTTCTCTTGATTTGACTAGGTGTAGGGGTTTATTAATTTTATTTATTTTTCATTCAAGGTAATGGCTCTCGGAATTAAATTTTATTATTTAAAAAGAATTTTGAGAGGCAGAGAGACAAAGAGAGATTGCTCTCATCTATTGTTTTACTCCCAAATGCTTGCGATAGCCCAGGCTGGGCCAGGGCCAGAGTTGGGAGCCAGAAACTCAGTCTGGTTCTCTGAAATGAGTGGCAGGAATGCTCTTACTTGAGTCATCTCTTGCTGTGTCCCTGGGTCTGCATTTGCAGGAAGTTAGACTTGAGAGCTGGAGCCGGGTATTGAACCCAGGTACTCTGATAAGGGGACACAGATGTCTTAATTAGGATGAATCCCTGCTTCAGCTTTTTATTCTTTAGATCAGGTAATACCAGTTTTCATCTTTTATATTTCCTTACTTTTCCGTGTCTAGTGTGCTTTACTGATTTATTTTAAACATTTTAACAGCTTTATTGAAATATAATTTACATACCATACAAGTCACCCTTGATTTAAAGTGCATGAGTCAATAGTTTCAGTATATTCATAGATATGTGCCATCATTATCACAGTTAATTTTAGAACATTTTCATCACTTCTAAAAGAAACCTTGCATATTAGCTAATATCCTCTTCCTTTCCATTCCCCTAAGCAAATTTTAATCTACTTTTTGTCTCTATAGACGTACTTATTCTATGCATTTCATATAAATGAACTGATATGTGTTTTTTTTGTGTGTGTGTGTGGCTGGCTTCTTTCACTTAGCTTGTTTTCAAGATTCATCCATGATGTAGTATGAATCAGTAAATCATTTCTTCTTATGGCCTAATAATATTCCAATGTGTGGTTACATGATATTTTGTTTATCTGTTCATCAGTTGGTAGACATATGGTTTTTTGCTACCTGTTGGTTGTGATGAATACTTGCTAATAAACTTCTGTGTACAAATTTTTATGTGTACATATGGATTACTTTCTCTTGGAGTATATATCTAT